TTCCTGTCAACTTACATCCAATTTCGATCTCAATTCTGCTAAATTACACCAATTTCGATGTCAGTTCGTGTCAGCTTTCATCCAACTTCGAACCCACTTTAATCCCAAATATTGAAATGGGGGAGAGTCCTTCTCATGGGACCTTCTCCCCCAATAAACCTCTGAACGACCTCATCTCAAGTTTTGATCATAATTTTTGAACCAAATATTGAATCAAATACTGATTTTTGATTTCATTCGTTGATTGTGTTTCAAGCGATCCTGAAAAGTTGAAGAAAAAATTTTCAAATGAGGTGTTTTTTGGGTAATCAATACTACAGGTTTTAAGATTTGCTCGTAGATTCCGCTGACAATGAGTAAGTCCTTGCTTTTAAATTCCAAATTGCTATGCATAATAATGCCACCTCTAGCTTTTAATTCCAATATGCTTGGAATTTGAAAATTTTTGCGGACTCCACTTTCATTCGCGGATGCCACTTACAGTTTCAATAACGGCCTGCTATACACGCATGTCTTAACACCCAAATTTTGTACTTGGAGTCCATTTACATTTCTGAGCATGTTCAAAGATTTGTCTCTGGAATCCAGGAATTTACAGGCACAAAATTGTGAGCCTATCCAGTGTATAGTTTTGCCTCGTAATGACACTCAGAAGTTATGAACTGGAGTATTGGAAGCTTGTTGACGGTTCTACGAACAGCTGGCTTGTTAGATACAGCAGAAACGAGCAATTTTTTGACTTATAGTTAAACTTCATAGTTGATTTTGTTGCCCTCTTGGCTTTGCTTTGATGAATTTAGCTATCCTGTAATTTTGTGAAGTTGGTTTTTGTACAGAAAACCTCTAAACAACAGCGTGGAAATGCGCGTTTTCTAAATTTAGCAGCTATAAATCTACAAATATATGGTCCGATTATGTTGATACAAACTATTTCGTTTCAATTTTCACTCCGATGAAGTTCGCAACCTTGTTGGAATGCCCTATTGCAAGAATACTTTGGCTGGAGTAAGAAGACTATCAACTGTTTCTTTGCAGTGAAAAATCAAACGAAGTAAGGTTTGAAGACAATAGTTAGTTTGTTCATCATGCAAAATTTCATGACATTATGACTGGTTTTCACAGTAACTGGCAATTCCTGGCAAATTACATCCAACTGCGATCGCGACTCCTTCCAACGTACACCCAACTTCGATCTCAGTTCATGTCAACTTACAACCAATTTCGATCTCAATTCTTGTTAACGTACACCCAACTTCGATCTCAATTCCATCCAAATTACATCTAACTTTGATCTCAATTCCTGCAAACGTGCACCCAACCTCGATCTCAACTCCTGCCAACTGAATTCCAACTTGGATGTCACTTCCTACCAAGGTACACCCAACTTTGTTCTCAATTCCTGCCAAAATACATCCAACTGCAATCTCAACTCCTGCCAAGGTACACCCAACTTCGATCTCAGTTCCTGACAAGTTACATCCACCTTCGATATCAGTTCTTGTCAACGTACACCTAACTTCGAATTCAATTCCTGTCAACTTACATCCAACTTTGATCTCAACTCCTGCCGACTCACTTCCAGAATGGATCTCACTTCCTGCCAAGGTACACTCAACTTTGTTCTCAATTAACGCCAGCTTACATCAAATTTCGGTCTCAATTCCTGCCATTTAGACCAAACTTCGATCTCAATTCCTGTCAACTTACATCTAGCTTCGAGCTCAAGTCTCGTCAACGTATACTCAACTTCGATCTCAATTTCTGCCAACTTACACTCAACTTTGATCTCAATTACTGCCAACGTACACCCAACCTCAATCTAAATTCCTCTGAACTTACATCCAACTTGGATGTCACTTCCTGCCAACGTACACCCAACCTCGTTCTCAATTCCTGTCAACTTACATCCAATTTCGATCTCAATTCTGCTAAAGTACAACAATTTCGATCTCAATTCCTGTCAGCTTTCATCCAACTTCGAACCCACTTTAATCCCAAATAATGAAATAGGGGAGAGGTCCTTCTCATGGGATCTTCTCCCCCAATAAACCTCTGAATGACCTCATCTCAAATACTGATCATAAATTTTGAACCAAATATTGAATCAAATTCTGATTTCTGATTTCATTCGTTGACTCTGTTTCCAGCGATCCTGAAAATTTTAAGAAAAAACTTTCAAATGAGGTGTTTTTTGGGTAATCGATACTATAGGTTTTAGGATTCCGCTGACAATGAGTAAGTCCTTGCTTTCGAATTCCAAATTGCTATGCATAACAATGCCACCTCTAGCTTTTAATTTCAATATGCTGGGAATTTGAAAAGTTTTGCGGACTCCACTTACACTCGCTGATGCCACATACAGTTTCAATAACGGCCAGCTATACAAGCATGTTTTGACACCCAAATTTTGTACTTGGAGTCCATTTACATTTCTGAACATGTTCAAAGATTTGTCTCTGGAATCCAGGAATTTACAGACACAAAATTGTGAGCCTATCCAGTGTATAGTTTGGCCTCGTAATGATTTTCAGAAGTTTTGGACTGGAGTATTGGGAAGCTTGTCGACGGTTCTACGAACAGCTGGCTTGTTAGATACAGCAGAAAAGAGCAAATTTTTGACTTTTAGTTAAACTTCATAGCTTATTTTTTGCCCACTCGGCTTTGTTTTGATGAATTTATTCATCCTGTGATTTTGTGAAACTGGTTTTTGTACAGAAAACCTCTAAACAACTGCGTGGAAATGCGCATTTTCTAAACTTAGCAGATATTAATCTAACAAATATATGGTCCTATTATGTTGATACAAGTCATTTCGTTTCAATTTTCACTCCGATGAATTTCGAAACCTTGTTGGGATGCCCTATTGCAAGAATACTTTGGCTGGTGTAAAAATACTTACAACTGTTTCTTTGCAGTGAAAAATCAAACGAAGTAAAAAATGAGAGTGGTTTCTATTGAACAACCAATAACGTAACCGTGAACTAAACGCTAAAATTTAGTTTAAGAACGATGAAAAAGAAGACGTTGAAAATTTTTATAAAAACGTAAAAACGTAGGCTTGGTGAACAGTTTTTAAATATGCCCCAAAAACAGGGGTGGATTTAGGGGGGGGGGGGGGCGGATGCCCCCCCTCTCAGGGATTCGACCCCCTGCCGACCCAAAGGGTCCCCCCTTTGATACTTTTTCAGAAATCCATTTTGGCCGACCGACCCTAAAATTTTTCTAAAGGCGCCTTGGGCGCCAATATATACTAACTTTGAGGGGGAGCGCGCGCCAAAAAAAAACGCTATTTTTTGTCAAAATTTTTCAAAAAGTGCCCAAAAACGGCTTTTTTGACTGTTTTGACTGTTGTAGAAAATTTAGCCAAAATAGGGGCTCGAAAAAATAGGGGCTCGAAAATTTTTTTCGAGCTCTTTGGGAGAGCTCGAAAAAAATTTGGTTGACCTAAAAAATAAAGGTCGTCAAAATTTTGGAAAATTTTTTGAAAATCCGCCCCCCCCTCGAGAAAATCCTAGATCCGCCCCTGCCCAAAAACAACCTAACTTGCAGAAAATCTACTAGCAAACATGCTCAGTTTTGGACTTGCCAATCAACATTGCGCATGCAAACAGTTGGGCTTATTTAAAAAAAAATCAGGATAAATGTTTTTGAGTAAAAGAATTCCGCAATCAATGGATTTTGACTTTTGTACTTATAAAAATTTTAGATCGAAAACTTTTCCGAAAAAAAATTATTTTGCTTTTATTTGCAAGTTTCAATGATAAAATTCGTGTCTAGCTGTAATTACTGTTTGATGTCTGTACTAGCCCTCTTTTGAAGACAATGAAGACTTCTGAAAAATAATGAACAATTTTCCGAAACAAACTGAGAGTTTGGAACATGGTTTCACTCGGTTTTATTTAAAAAATTTACTTTTTTTCCTTTTCCAATATCTGCTTATTCCAGTTAACTTTTTCCGTAGCCTCGTTTTTTTTCTAATAAGATAAATCCTGAGGTGTTTCAAGAGATTATAATTGATCCAAGTTTTTTTTCATAATTGTTTCCTAAACTTGACTATAATTCCTGTTATCGGCAAAGTAAAGTTAAACTAAACAACCTTATAGTGGATTAAAAAATAGCTGACATAAACAAAATTGTCTGGCAATGAGATGTCTTGCCTCCTCTTGATTCATCCGAACACCCAATTTTACCAAGGAACAAACGTTTTATAGAGGTTCCTTTATATTAATTAGAAGATTCCCGTGGTAGGTAAAAAAGTACTCTGTGAAAAAGAACTTTGATCTAAAACGATGTGCTTATGATTTGGTGGTAAAAATCAAAAAAAGTGTTCATCATTATCAGAAAACACAGAAGCAAGAAACACGCAGCTAAAGTTAACCAAGAACAAAGTATTTAAAACGTTATATACGGCTTGAAATGGGTTTACAATATGTTAAAACGGGTTTCAGAAGTTTCACATTAAAGCAATTTAGATGCAAACGCCGAAGTCGAAAACGTACTAATAAAAAGAATTGTAATTGGTTGAGAAAGAAACACAAAATTGAAAATCTGATAGGAACAATAGATTTTCATCAATTATGATTGTATCGAAAAACATATGGAAAACTAATTGATTGTAACCGATTGAAATATCTTACACTTATCATAATTTTTTATGGAAAAGAGAGATTATAATAGATTTTTTCTCGATTTTTAGAAATGCTTTTGTGGTACTAAAATTATATGATAACCAATTAGTAACTAGATGAGGGTGTATTTGATTTTCATTCAAATTTATATCCAAACAATTCAACGACCAAATATTTTCATGAATGGCGCTTTTACCAAAATTATAAATATGCTAACTTCGTTTACGAATTTCGAAGTGTTTACAGAATTAACAATATCAGGCCAACTAAACCCAAAAGAGCGTTTCATGGCCAGAAATTGGTATTAGATTTTCAGTGGCTCGTCAATAAATTGCTTACTACAAACAAACTTATTCAAATGAACGACGCATTTCTTAATTGTGATAATATCAAAGTTCTAACTAAAAGAGTTGGTTTATTTGCGACACATTAAAACGACATCAATTTGGTTAGAATGAAACTTGAAACTTGCATCTGGATTTTACTGATTTCGTTTCTGCGTTTTTCTAGTTGTCAGCAGACAACGTATCCGTGCAGCCCGACTGGAACTAACGTGACGTGCTCCTGTTTCTTCGACGCCAGACTGAATGGAACTTCCGTTAATTGTCTGGTAAGTACAAAAATAAGACCAAAATTTTTAGAAGTCCCCTCCCCCTCCCCCCTTCCCCTCCATTAATCAACTTTCAAATATAAGCAAAAACTAAGGGCGACCTCTACATAAATAAACACATAAGTACACAGTACTGGTTGGCTGCAGTGCATCGTCAAATTACTAAACTGATTTGGTGATAAATTTATGAATCAAGAGCAGATTTAGGATTTTCCCGGGGGGGGGGGGGGGGGAGTAATTAAAATTTGAAAATTTTTGAAAATACAGACCAAAAAACACGTTTTAGGGCACTTTTTGGAAAATTATGATCAGAAAAGGCGTTTTTTTTGCCGCGCGCTCCCCTTCAAGATTAATGTATTTTTGCTCGATACATTTTAAGTCGGCCGAAAAAGGATGACCTATAAAAAATTTAAACCAAAAGGGATTCCTTTGGTTGATGGGTGGGTCGAATCACTGAGGGAAGGTCAAGTTTTTTAGTTCTACCAAACTGCTTTACCGAAGCCCCCAAATCAAATACCCAAGAGATCATTCAACATAATCAGGGCAGCTTAAAGATTTTCTGGAATTATTTGACGAACAGTTTTTCGGTTTCTGGCGCAAATTTTTTATACTTTTTCCGAAAGATTTCTCATCGGCATTTTTTGTCCAAAAAAGGCACACCCTCGCTCAAAAATAACGCGCTCAAAAACAACACCCTCATTTTGCTAAGTCGGCATTTTGACAACTTGGAAGCCATGCCTTCGTTATTGTTTTGGAGACACTTCTTGAAAAAATTAAAACCTTCTGAGTTAGGACCGAAGTGTAACTCATAGAGTAATTTCGGATAGGGTACACCGTCTGCTCGTCACGCTATCTTATTTTCGGCCGGATAGATTCGTGCAACTTCTTAGTCTAATACCGATCCTAATCTTACTCTTATACTATCTAGTCTCAGGTTGTTTAACTAGTCTCTGCTAGGCTCAATAGATCTAGGGTATACTGGTTTATTGCGGCTGCTGAAGTGCTCGGGAGAGTCCAACTAATTTCTAAGTTAAATTCAAATCTCTCTGGTGCTGAAATTACAAGTAACTTCAGCACTTACAAATAAGTGGGTTGTTAGTTAGATGGATCATGATTGGTTAATATTAAATACTTTACATTGGTAAAACATTTAATTTATCCAATCATAATATGTAGTTTAGATCAGGTTCCACCCATCCGGGTTTTACAGAGTTTTTTAGAATAGTTCTTCTGCAATTCGAAGGATGGATGATGGACGTAGGTGTTTGGCGAACATCATAATTTTCTTCCGTTTCCTCTTTTGTTAGGGAAGTTCCAGGAAGCTGGAGTTAGAGACTTAAGACGTTGTGTTCTTTTTGTGACAACGACTGAGTTCTCTGCAACAAAATCAATTCTGATTTCAGAATGGTTTGCTATGTCAGGTTTTTCTGTTCTGCGTGGAGAACTTCTTTTGTGTATGGTCTAGTTTGGGAATGGCGTGGAGATTGTGCGTGGAGGGGATGCCTGGTTACTCGGATCTGTACGTATACTTGAACATCGAGGTGGTCATTGGTCTAGTTCAATGAAGTCCTTTTCTGCGAGGTCAAGTCGTACTCTAAATCCTTTGAGTTGTGATTGTGAGCGGCATATCGATTGTAGTTGGTCATTCTCTCTCGAGTGTAGTGGGGTCGTCTTGTCTTTTGATGTTCGTCCTTGGTGTTGTATTCTGATCTATATATTGCATCATGTGATTTTACATTTTATAAAACTTTTATTAGTTTAATATTTTTTAATAATGATTTTAGTTAGTTGTTTTCACAAAAGCTTTTTGTTTTAGTTCGGTTATTTTGAAGAGTTACTCACACTTGAGTAGCTCTTATTAAAAATAGTGGTGTGGTCACAAAGCGTGGATGTAGCGCGGTGGGTTAGGCCGGCTATAGAGCATGCTCAGGACGTCCTTCCTGGTGGGTTAGGCCAGGAGTGGGAGTATGATTTCATGCGGTTTTTGTGAGGGGTCCTGTTATGTGACAACGTTTTATGTTGGGTTTGTTGTGGTCTTACTTATGTTTTGTTGGTTGTGTCCTTTTTTCAAAAATCAAATTGTTTGTGGTATGGGTTTGTCTTTCGACTTTTTTGTGTTTTATTATTTCTTTCTTAGACTTTATAATAGTCTTCAAAAGAATAAATTATCCAGTTTTAAACTGGGTTAATCCGGTTTGGGTACCGTTGGTTTCCTTTTCTAAGTCATGCTGTTATTCTATGATTTGTGGTATTTAGTAAGCTGCGTTGGTTAGTTTTGTTTAATATATGATTCCTTTCCAACCGGGTTAAAGGAAAGTTTGAAACATGTTATTATATGTTAGAGTTGTTGAGTGTGAAAACTTGAAACTGAAATTCATTATTTTAAACAATTCTTCGTGGGCGAGCTGTGCGAGTGTGGATAGAATTTCTGTGCGAATGAATGAAAATATCAAAAGGTTAGTACTGCATTTGCATTTATTTAATTTACTACATAGAATTTAGAAATTTACTGCTAGTCATGGGGGAATATTAAGATATAAATTTTCATCATAATTAGATTTACTGCTTGTGGGGGAAAATTTTAGAAATGAATTTACTGCATTGGTATTAAATTTATAAATTTATAAGTGTAAGAGATTAATAGAATTTTTGAAATCTGTTTGATGAAATTTGCGATTTTTATTTGTCTTTTGTGGTTTTTGTAGGTGATCGTCGGATGAAGGCTAAAAATCTAAAGAAAACATGAATAAAGTATGGTGAGTTTTTTAATATTTTAATTAGTTAGTAATATTCATTTAATTCATACTTACCTGTTAGTCGTCGGGGAAAAAACCGTGGGGGAAGATGTCGTGAATTAGTTCTGAAGTTGTTAGTAGTTTAGCTAAGATGCGGATGATATTTTTAGTCTGAAGCAGTGGCCAAAGCAATTGAAGTGCCTTAATAGTGGTTAGTTCTTCAGTGCCAACTGCAAACTCATAAGGTGTGTTTTGGATTAGATTATATAATTTGTGATTGAATTTAGTGTTGTGGATGAATTCTAAAATTGGGATTTCTATAGGTTGTACAAACTCGTGCGGGATAAGGAAGGGTCGGGATTCTTCGGCGTTGAAGGTCTTGGTGATGGGACAGAAGATGTACATTTGGGTTATGGGGTCATAATTACGAAGAATACCATGGAGGTTAGTGTCTTTAATACAATATGTGAAATTTAGGAAAAATGGTGAAGTGTATTTGGAATTAATGAATTGAAAACGATGGTGTGGTTGTCTAGAAGGTGTGTGTAGATCAAAGTGATTTTGGATGAAGCGATAATAACTATATGTGTGGGTTTGTTTAGTGCGCAACATAATATCGTGTGAGCAGTGTAAATCTCTTTCGTGTGGTGCAAGGAAATGAAAGGTTAGTGAAAATATTTGGAAGCGTTCTTTAAAACTTTCGTATGCTTGTGTGTCTGTTAGTGCTTCTGAAATAATGTGATCAAACTTTCGGTCGAAGATGTTTAGTGTAAATATATATGGTGTCTTGATGAAAAATTTCTCGGTAATTTGTGGATTAGCGAAGCGATCGTCGTCTAAGAATTGATCTTGGTTAGCTCTGATGATGTTGTGATCATAGTATTCGATTGCATAGTATAAATCGTACCTGTGGATATAATCAAGGGTTTTGGAAAGTTGGATGAATAGTTCGAGAATAGTGTAGAAAATTAAAAAAATGTTACAAAAAATGATTAGGATTATTAGAAAAGATTCAAGTATATCAAAAAGAAATATTATAAAGGTTTCGAATATTGTAAAAAAATGTTTAAGATTTATGAGTATTTGAGTAACTGATTGAGAGAAGAGCATTTAAGAAATGATCTCTTGGTCGAATATTTTTTGCTGTTTGAGGCGATTTTCTAGTGTGGTCGGATTATTTATTAGTTTTTTGACAAGTGGGTTGAGTTTTGTAAAAAATTGTTGGGGGCAATTTTCATGGTGACTGGGAGGTCGTCTTTTTCTTTATTTTTGTTTGTCAAATGATCCGGGGTATGGTGAGATTTTTATACTTTAGGCTAATTAAAATGTTCATTTTGTGACTTTAGGCTAAGTTAACAAATTTGCTTTGGGGGTATTCGTGGTCTGAGTTGGGGAAATATTGTTGATCTTTGGGTTATTAGATAAGGGAGGGGTACGGTATTATGGTGATATTTATTTTAGTTGTCAAGTTGGAGTGGTTTGCTTATTTTTGACCTGGAGGTCGTAAAGTTATAGTTATAGATGTGCCTGGAGTTCTATATGATTCGTCTAATTGGTCTTAGTTTGAGTTAGAGAAAGTGACGGATTGGATGAATCCAATTGGTCTATTTTGAACTAGAATTATTACGTACTTGTCAGCATGTTATTTTGAAAAATGTAAATGAAAAATGTTTTGGAGATTTCAAGATTGTGAAGCAAATGTTAAAATTACTTTTGAAATTCTACTTTCTTTAAAATTTTAGATTGGGGGATGAATATTTTATAGTTTTTACGTGGTTGATTTCGGAGTCTTGTTGTTTTTCTATTTTCTGATTTGTCGATTTGTTCTTGGGGTATTATTTGTTCGGTCATTTTTCTATTTTTTCTTTGTTTTGGGGATTCTTTATGGTTTTGTGTATTGTTTTTGGTGGCGGTTGGTTTTGTGTTTTGATTTTTGGTGGGGTTATCATTTTGTTCTGTGTTTTTCAGATGTGGTTCATTTTGAATGATTTTTAATCCTGTGAAAGAATATAATTGAGTTAATTCGCGGAGTGCGTATTCTTTTGGGTAATAAGGTAATAGGTTGTTTCGATGTTGAACGATTTCTTTTTTGTTTGAGTCGGTAATTTTATATGTGACATCAGTGGGTTTTGCAATTATTTGGTATGGTCCTTTTCGAAGGGGTTGTAATTTTTTAGAAATTCCTTTTTGAGTATTAAAATTAGGTATTAAAACAAATGTTCCAATTTTTAATTCGGAGGCTGGTGTAAAACGTGAATTGATTTG